GGGCCCGACGAGGCACGCACGCACGCACGCACGCACCCGCGCGGCGAGGCCGAACGTCCTGGAGGCACCTGCCGGCCTCACTGGGCCCGACGAGGCACGCACGCACGCACGCACGCACGCACCCGTGCTGCGAGGCCGAGGCCGACCGATCTGGATGAGCCCCTCCGTCCAGGCCCCACGCTCTTGCGGGCTAAGGAAGATCGGAGCAGACGGGGGTCTTGTGCAGTTCAGAGGTGCAACAATGGCTTTGGGAGAACTCAAGGTTGCAGCCAAGAGTTTCCGGGAGAATCGGGAAAGACTGAGAGAGGAGTGGGTCGGTCCCATGCGATCTGCTCCTTGTCCCTCAGCTGGGTCCAGAAAGGAATGAGACCTCGAAGCTGAGGGGACACAGGTCAGAGGTTGCAAGCCGTACGCTCAGGCAGTGAGGCTGGCCGACCTGTCCATCAACTAGAGTAGAAACATGGTGCCCATTTCCAAAGGCTTAGCTCTGTGGGTCTCAGAGACCGTTTTAAAGTGGCAGCTCAGGCCACGACCGTGTGTGTCTTGCTGCTGTGGCTCCAAGGCCCATGCACCTGTCCCTCCACCCCGGGGCCTCCCCAGCGTGTGGCCGTGAGCAGGGCACAGATCCCCCGGCACACCCACACCCTCACCACACCGCGGAGGTCCTGGTTTCCTGGGCTCAGAGACCCTTCAGGGTTGAAGTATGAGGTGAGAGGAGTGAGGTACAAGGTATGAGGTCACGGCCAGTAAGTCACAGACAATAACCAAGTATTTGACTTTTGCAACAACCTACTTTAAAAAACAATTAGAGCATTTTCAACGTGACAGCAACATTAATAACAAAAGCTGGCACTTACTGAGTGCCAAGCCCCGCACCTGACACTTTTTCTGGCATCATCATTCAGTCTTTAGGTTTGTAGACCCTGGGCAAGTCACAGAGCCTCTCCGAGCCTCATCATCTGCAAAGGGCGGCGCTTTCGAGAAAGGTCTCTCCCTATCTCCCCGGGGTTGTTCTGAGCCTTGAAGATAATGCATGGCTCATGTAGGCACTCAATAAATGTTAGCTGCCTCCCGTCCCGTTCTAATTTATTTTAAAAGGGCATAGGGTTAAGACAGAGGCCTGAGCGCCCCACAAGGGAGCACTCAGACATTTAGAGGATGCAAAGCAACGGGAATAAAAACGGCTCTGTTAAAAGGCCCCTGGCCGACTGGCCCAGAGAAACAGAAATTTCATAGCTACTTTAAATTTATGAGTTGTTGGGTCCTGGAAGGCAGGCGGGTCATAAACCTCAAACAAGAAGCCAAACAGGATCCTAATGAATAAGGGCCATACAACAAGTGCCCCATTTCCCCACCCCGGCTCCCAGGACACCCGTGGGGCGCTGTCCCAGAAGATCTTGGAAGGCCCGTCCTGCGGATGGAGATGAGGCTGGCCGGGAAGCCAGCCCCGGAGGCCCAGGGGCTTCCACCTGGCTGGGGGGGTGGGGGGAGAAGCAGCTCTGACTGCTGCGGACACAGCTGGCTTCTCTGAAGCCAGCACGAGGACACGGGGGAGGAGGCAGCTCTGTCACCTACAACGGGTCCTGCACAGGCAGGGTCTGATTTTGGGAAGAGGGCTGCCCTGGTCCTCACGCTGTCTACAGATAAAGGGCTGTTGTCTGCTTATGCCTGCTCTTCTCCTTCCTTCCTTCTCTTCCCTCGTATGCCATTCCGCGAGGCACTGGGAGTGCAACTGGGAACAAGACAGCTGTGGGTCCTCCGTGAGAACAGGCATCTCGGGGTAAATGTTTGCACGCCCGGCCTCTCCCTGGCTAGAGGGAGCTTCTTCCAGGCAAGGCCCGAGCCTGTGATCATCTCTGTGTCCCCAGCACCTAGGACAGGGCCTGCTGGCAAGCCCCCTGCACTCTCACTAGCTGTTACAAAATGGCAAGGGCTCAGGAGGTCAAAGGATTTTCCAGTCCCTCCAAGGCAGATCTTGGGAATCCAGCAGCGCCGAGTGTTCCGCCTTGGCTCTGACACTTGTGTTGCTATTCAGGAGATCTTGTCAAGTGACCTAACTTCCCAGAGCCTTCCTTTCCTCATTCGTGAAATGGGGACACTAACTACCACCCTGGGGTTGCTGAGGGAAGGGCAGGCAGGCACCAGAGCCTGGTACTTAATGGGGGTCCAATCAGTGGAGTTGATACTGTCATCCTAGGGAGGACCTTATAACCTTTCCTGGAGACCCTCTGATTCTGCCGTGAACAAGAGACGCCTGCCCCTTCCCACATGGGGAGGGAGCCAAGGGCATAGCTGGTGTGGCATCCCTGTGTGCCTGTTGGCAGCCACGGGGCTCAGGCTCTGCCTCACTGTTCAGACAGGACTTTCTTTCCAGCTGTGGTCCCAGCTAGCCAGGCAGCTGGCTGGGGGGCTCTGCCGACCGGGCGGGCCTGGGGCGGCCCTGGGCCAGCTGTCCGCTCCTCCTAGCCCCAGCTTTGCCACTACCTTACTCAGTCATCCTTGTTAATCAGATTGCCAATGTGGGCAAGGATCCAGGGGTCCTAAACTGGGGCTTCTGGAAAACCCCATGGATAGAACTCAGGGGCTCCCTGAACTTGAGGAGGAAAAAAAAAAATCACTTTTATTTTCACTGACCTCTAATTGAAATTTAGCATTTCCCTCAAATCTGAGTGTAGGCGACAAACCCACAGTACCTGTTACTGTCCTAGTTACATGTCACTTTACAGTCATTGTCAAGGATATTTCAAAATGTGTCACTAAGGCTTGTCACTGCTTCAAAAGTGAGGTTGTTATTAGAACTGCTGCTGGATCTCATTATTTAATGCATTAATAAAGAAGCCTATCTATGAGTAGATCACATTCAACATACTTTCATAATTGTATTTCAATTGAAGTGATTTCCTCTCTAATCCTTCATTGTGCATTTTATGCATTTAAAACTCTATTCTGAGAAGGGGTCTGTGGGCTTCGCCAGCCTGCCAAAGGGTCCAAGGTACAGAAAAGGTTAGGACCCTGGGACAGAGCACTTTGCAAGGACCCTTCGTGTCCCGACATTTTAGGATTCTGAGGATCTATTTCCCGAGGGCCCTTACCACCAGCATAACTATGAAGTTAAATTTGCTGATCGCATGGCCTTTTTTTCCAATCAGGAAATATATCCAGGCCGTGACAGTGCTTCCAAACTCCTGGGCTTCCCACAGAATGCGCTCGAATGACACTGGAAAGGTTTCAAAAATCCAGTCCACCCCCTGCTTTAATTCCTTTCTTCCCCCCAACAGATGTTGCAGGCCTGGTGAGGAAGCCCGTCGTGCACGACTCTCACGCCATTGATGGTGTTTCTCAGCCGAGCAGATTCTTCTGGGTCTCCAGGACGAGGCAGCCCCTTGCAGGGTTCAGGGGACTTCATTAAGGGAGGGGAGGAGATTGCTACCTTTCAACCTGACCTCCAAGCCCAGAGGTTAAGGTTTCAGGTGGTGCCAGGCTGTCTGCACCCCCCAGCACTCACAGCTGTTTCTTGGTAGCACTGAGGGCCCTGGGCCTCAATAATGAAGGTCATGATTCTCAAACCTCCTTTTTAACGACAACTTGCAACCTCCTCTCCTGTTCAGACCTTGGCCTGACTTCCCAACTAGCCGGAGCCACTGGTTTGAATTTTGCTTTCCTTATAAGTTAGGGTGGCCCAGACCAAGAGCCCCTGGCAGGTGGCTATGTTTCTCTGGTCTTCAGCATCCCTATCTGTAGATGGAGCACAGTTGGTGATTCTTGAAGGATCTTCCAGTTGTAATGTTCTGGGAGAAAAGTCATGTCACCCCTTTGGACAAATGCTCCAAAAACATCCACAGAGCCAGGCCATGGGACTGTGATTCATAGCTTTCTCATTCAGTGACTTCACCTCCCTGAGAGTCAGTGACCATCTCAATGAAAGGGGGAGACGAGCTAACTGACCCTAGGAGCTAGCGTGGGAATGAAAGGGGGATGCATGTGGAGACTTTTACCAAAGGGCTTGGCACAGAGTAAGTGCTCAATAAAGAGTCATTGTGTTCAGAGACTAGTATTGACTTACCTGCTCACCCACGGGCCCTGGCCGTCCAGGGTCGCCTGGCTCTCCCTGCAAAGAAAGGAGGAGGATCACTTGGGATGGGTGATGGTAGTCAGGCCCCCCCCCCCAGGGAATACCCTCAGGTGACTGGCCTTAGTCCCCACCAGTAGGGAAGGACAGGAACCTCAACTCCAGAGTCTGGCCTTGTAGACCCCAAACAAATGGCAGAAATGATGGAACACTTGGACAGAACTTCTGGCCCCAGACATGGCCCTAGCCACGCATTCCCTCTGAGCGACCCTTGGCAGACGACTTGGTACCGTCCGGTCTGTATCTCATTTGGGCTGTTCATCAACCCATCGCATTTTGTGGAGGTGGTAACTAAAGCTCAGAGGGGCAAGGTGGTCTGCTCAAGGCTACATGGCAAGCTAGAGGCAGGGCTAGAATTGGAACTTTGGTCTGACTGATTGAAATCCCCATTCGTACTGGATCAGGCTGCCCCACCACAGGAAGATCAGGGAGCCAAGGAGTCAGGGCACTTAGATCCTAGACCCTAACCCACCAGACCTCTGCCACCGGCTCACAACATGACTGGTGAGCCTTGTCTCTGCTCTGGGCTCAGCCTCCCCAGCTATAAATAAGGGAAATCAGACTCATTTGTCTCATAGGCTATTTCCAGCCCTCACGCTTGGTGGCCTCTTGTATAGCCTTGTCTGCCAGCTTTATCCCATGCCAGGGTAGCTCCTGTTCCTTAGGCAGCCACAGCCGCCCTGGTCTCCCCACAGCGTGAGCTGGAGAGAGGCGAGCAGCCCCGTGGGATAAATCCACCCAGACTATGTCACCGCTCTCCCACAGAAACCCAGCTGGGATCTGAGGGAGTAAGACCGAGACCTCAGGGAGCAGGACAAGGGCTAAACTAGTCAAACTAGCCAGGAGCTTGGCTCACAAATGGACGCGGCTCACCACAATCAGGGTCCCGAGCCTCATCCTTCCCTCCAGCACCTCCCCCAGACCTCATGCTCAGGAGAACCAGAGGGGCCAGACAGACACATGGGCCATGTCTGCTGAGTGGAGGGGGACGTGGATGTACTGGGCTACCCTGGCTCTGCCCTCACCCTCGTGTGTCTGCCCAGCTGTAAACGTGGCCCAACACACTCTGTCCAGGATGGCCTGGAAAATTCAACCCGCGAGAGGAGTCCTTGGAAAGCCACTAAGCGAGGCTGCCCATGTGCTGAGGACCATCACTCTCCTACCCAGGCCAGTTCTCTTTTGATAAGTTAAAAAACAAAAACAAACAAACAAAAACCACTGTTACCAAATGTAATACATATTGACGGCACATCATGGGGCAAAGCTAGAGGCCCACAAAAGAAAACGGAAATGTCCTCTACTCCCACCACCCGGAGAGAGGCCCCATCCACACTGCAGCCCCTGCTCCGAGCATGCAGGACCGTGGTGCAACGGGCCCCTGCAACAGGTTTGTCCGGTAACCCTCCATCTGGAACCTGCTTCCTACTACCACCACACCTCCAGCTCCACACACACGGGCCCTCTCCTGTCTTGTAAACTCTTCCACTACACCATCGTTGGTGGCTGCATTGCATCCCATTACTTGTTGGACACTGAGGTTCTTGTTCATTTTTTCCTCTCTGTTACCAGTATGTTGTGACAAATGGGGACTATTGATCCCCCTTTCCACAACTGCCTCTGGGATTGGGGTTCTTCCTGGGGCCCTCATTTGCTGGCTCCCCATTTCTTCTCTTTCGCAGATGTTCCAAACACCCTCCCCACCCCCAAGCCCAGTCACTTCCAGGTCCCCTCACCTTCATGCCATCCGGGCCGGGCCGGCCAGGAAACCCCTTCTTGCCAGGTTGGCCCTGCAACAGAGAGAGGTGAGGGAGGGGAGCTAGGAAGGGGATAGGGGGGCAGCGTTGCTGAGGTCCCAGCCCTGGCCCAGAGGAGGGCTGCAATGCCCCAGCGGGGAAAGGATGCAGAGCCTGGAGGGCCCCAGGTTGCCAGCTGGTCTGGAGATGCAGGGGTGGGGGGGTAGGGGGGGTCTGCAGCTGTGTGACCTCAGGGAAGTCTCCCCCTCCTGTTTGTAAATGGAGATGTTGAAACCTGCTTTCAAGGAATGAGGAAGCGGAAGGAACTGGACAGAAGATACAGGGCCCGGCGGAATGGAAAGTTTATGCCCGTGGTTTTCAAAAGGTGGCCTGGGGACCCCTGTGATCCCTGGGGCCCTCTCAGGGGATGCATGACGTCACGACTAGGTTCCCAATAACGCCAAGACGTTTGCCTGTGTCTCTCTCATTCTCATGAGTGTATGCAGAGTTTTCCAGAGGCTACATGACATGTGGTATCGTCAACAGATTGAATGCAGAAGCAGATGGGAGAATCCAGCTGACTTCTATTAAACCAGACATTAGAGATTTGCAAAAACGGTAAAACAATGCCACTCTTTTCATTAGATTATTTTGCTTTGGAAAATATAGCCAGTTGGTTGTTTTGTGTTGTTTTGTTGTAAAACTATTATTTTTGTGAACATGAAATGGGCTTATTATTATTTCAAATGAATTAATAAATACATTTAAAAGTTTTCAGTTTTAATTACTAATATCCATAGAGGGAACCCATACAAAGAAAAGCATTTTGGGTCCACAATCATTTTTTTTTTAAAAGAGATTAAACAGGCCCCAAGACCAAAATATTCGTGCACTGCTGGTTTATGCCCTCCCTGGCATGGGCCTTGTGGAAGGCCACTTGGAGCAGAGCAGTGGGGAGGACACAAGGTGAGGTTCCGGGCTGTGGAACACTGGGCTAAACCCCTTGCTCTCTGAGCCTAATGGCCGTGGGTGAAACTAAGACCAGCAATGGAACTCTCATGGAAAGTCAAATGCATGGAAGCGGATGCAAACCCCAGCATATGGCACCCGGGCAAGCACAGCTGGTCGGTTTCCCGACTCTTGTCTCTGTCCTTTGCGTCTGTTCTAGTCCTTTCTCTGACTGGCCCAAGCCTCCCGCTGATGACTTCTCGGCAGAGCGCCACCTGGGTGTTGCCTATCTGCACACAGTGGGCTCAGGAATGACAAATGTCACCTCCCCGGGAGCCAGTGACACTCACCTCTAAGCCGGGGGCCCCAGGTGGCCCCATGGGTCCCTCATCTCCCTAGAGTTGGGAGACACAAGAGAGGAAAAAGGATAAATTAATCCAGTGAGGGTGTTGGAGAACTTGACCTGTAAGGAGGGAAAGAGGTGGACAGGGGAGAGCTCTCCTGGACCAAAAGAAATGGTACGCCTGGTCCCCACCCCACCCCCCCGGGCTTCCACCCAGGCCACACAGGGACTTCAACATGAAGGGGGCTTCCAGTGTCACCTGAATGTGACAGGCCTGGGGTTCGTGGCAGGGCTGGGCAGAAAGTCAAACCTCATCATATGCTGTGGGTACAGAGCCTCGACTGCAGCTCAGAGATACGAGCTCTATTCTGAGCTCCACCACTGATTCAGTGGCAGAGCTTAACCGCCCTGTGCCTCAGTGTCCCCATCTGTAAAATGGTGCCGAACAGAGAGGACCATCCTAAAGTATGACGACTAGCCTAAGTGGAGCTCCTAAAGGACAGTGATGAGGCCCCATCCCCTACTCTGTCACAAACATCATTCAGGATGGGTGTGCAGGTGGGGCCAAGGGGCATGAGAGAGGGAGGAGACGGAGTAGTGAACGAATGCAGAGGTGGATGAATGAATCAATGCGGACGTGAGCAAGTGGCAGGCTCTCGGGTGGTAATGTGGGTGTAGACAGAGGCACGTGGCTGGCGCCATCCCTCCCTCCTCGCCCCTCCCTTCCCACTCTGGGTCCTCCCGCAGGCCAGGGCAGCCTCCAAACTGGCCCCTCTGGCATGCCAGGCCTAAGCCAGAGGCCCTCTCTGGGGCTAGCCCCCAACCCAGCTTCCAGGAAAGCAGCCCCACGTGGCTGCTCGCAGAGCCAGCACTGGGCCCCCGCCAGACCCAGAACCAGCCTGCAAAGAGATCCATGTCAGCTGGATGCCTGCCTGTGGTTGTGGTGAGTCCGGGCCTCCTGTGCCCTCAGCCGGGGCTGTCTGTGTGTCACGGGGGCCTTGGGGCCTGAGCCTGAGGGGGTGGTGGGGGGCCTCAGGCATAGGCAAAATCCGGGGCGAGCCCACGGGGTGCTCAACAGGCCCTCCCACAGAGAACTTCTCAATCCCCTTCAGCGTGAATGAGGAAATAAGCAAATCTCCACTCTGCCACTTATTGGCTCTGCAAGTCATGTCTTTCTCTGGGATGCCCCCCCGGGCAGCTCCCAGGAGCACAGACTTAGTAGCGTAGGGTCTTTGTCATGGGCTTTGGGCTCAAGCAGACATTTGAATCCACTAACCAGGGGACCCAACACAGTGTCTTCACCCCGAGTCTCAGGGCCTCACCTTCTACTCTCCCACACCCACACCCCGGGAAACTGTGCTATGGGCAGGGGCAATGGCAGTGGCCTCCAGAGAGAAAAGCCCTGGGCGATGGGGACGCAGCGAAGGCAGAAAGTCACCTGCCAGCCCGGCCAGGCCAGAGGATGAGGTAGGGCCGTAAGGATGAGCGGGAGGGTGAGCCTGGGGCAGCCCGGGGGTGGCGTCTGGGCTGAAGGGCCCTGGGCCCCCAGCAGAGGCCTCTAGGACCCCAGATGGAGCAGGCGGGGCTGCAGGGGACAGGCAGGGGACAGGTAGGGGACAGGGCCAGACGGTCTCACCTCGGGCCCCAGCTGCCCACGGGGTCCCGGCAGGCCTCGAGCTCCAGGCTTACCCTGGTGAGAAGGGAACAGAAAGAGGTCTCAGAGGCGGCACCTCCACGTCCATCAGAGGCTGGCAAGACCCCCAACAGCTCCAAGCCAGGCAGCCAGCCCCAGAGGCCTGTGGTTTCCTCCCACAGAGCAGGGAGCTTTGACTGCAGCGACCCTGGGCAGGGACTCACCTTCGTGCCTTCTGGGCCGTTGTCCCCAGGGGGGCCAATGTCTCCGGGGAATCCCTGAGGGAAAGCAGAGAGCAGGGTCACCCATGGGTGAAGGGAAATGCTAAGAGTGTCGGTCTTGGAGGGAGACCTACCCAGGTTTCCGTCCCTTCCTGCGTGGGACGGGACCCCGGGCAGGTCCGTTAACCACCTGGACCCTGCAGTCCTCTGTTCTAGAACAGGGATCTTGGTAACAGCCCGTACATCTCGGAGAGTTGCTGAGAACATTAAATGAGATAATGCAAGATAATACTTAACACTGCAACAAGCGCACGATACACACAAGGTTGTGTAACCCAGAATTTCCCACGTCCTGGGCCTGTGGCTGCCGGAGCCCCAAAGCCAGCCCTCCTCTGCTCCAAGAAATGGCAGCCTCTGATTGCAGTGATCCTGCAGATATGAAGATGTGCCGGGTTTGCTACAACTTTGAAGGGCTTGCGGGCACCTGGGTGGCTCAGTTGGTTAGGTCACTGCCTTCGGCTCAGGTTGTGATCCTGGGATCCTGGGATCGAGTCCTGCATCAGGCTCCCCCTGCGCAGCAGGGAGCCTGCTTCTTCCTCTCCCTCTTCCTGCCACTCCCCCTGCTTGTGCTCTCCCTCTCTCTGTCAAATAAATAAATGAAATCTTTAAAAAAAAAAAAATGAAGGGCTTGCAAAATGCTGGTCTAATTAAGCTCAGCTCCTCTCCAAAGCTGAAATGGTCCCTGCGTCCTGGCTGGGTGTGTTGGACTCTGCCCCACAACACCAAGGAGGGCTCATTGCTCCCAGATCAAGCCTGTTCCCGATGGCTGGCCGTGCAGTGGAGGCTTCTTCCTGACATGGAACAGAACCCCCTCCCTTTCCCCTTGACAACCTTGTACTGCCCCGTACGACTGCACAAAGCACAGGGGGTGGGAGTCCTTTCCACAGTAGTCTTTGCACAATTTGGAGACCAGTTTTCCCCTCCCCAGAGGCCTGCCCTTTGCTGTCCCTTGAATGGCTTCTACTCTGAGGCCCAGGGCCCCTCAGTCTTGCCACCTCCAGTCGGTCAGCTTCCATTGTTGGCAATCACTAGGATGCTGGTGCTTCTCTGGGTGTGAACAGACCAGCAGAGGCCAGCACGGGAACACCCCCTTCCTTGTTGTAGATGTAATACCTCTGTTAATTCATCCTAGCACCGCAGTCACTTTTAGGGCAGCCCCACTACTCCCTTAGTTTCCTGACAACTAGAAACCAAAATCTTCACATATGAATCCCTGAGACCAAAATGCCTCCTCCCACGTCCCTTCCATAAGTGGCTTTTTTCCTTCCTCTCTGATCTTTTGGTGACTCCCATTAAATTCCAGCTCAAACATCCTCTTACCCTTCTTACTAGCAAAGGCAAGAATGGGTCTGAATTTTGAGCTAACACAGAAAGCCAAAGCTACCGCATCTTTTTCTCCAAATCAAGAGGCTCAAAGTCCTATTTTGCGACCCCCTGGGGTCACACAGTGCATCGGTTCCTGACCCCAGGTTCCTGAGCATCTCTGGGCCTTGGCTTGCTCATCTGCAAAATGGTGACCACAACATCACCTTACAGGGCTGTTCTGAGGCTTGAAGGGAATAATGCAAGCAAAGTGCTTAGTTCAGCACCTGGCACCTGGTAAGTGCTCAGTAAAAATCTACATCCAAAAGGATGCAGAGCAGGAGCCACACGGCCCCGCCCCTCACACTGGGCATGTTCTCAGAAGATGCAGAGACCCAGGAAGGTGCTGACATGCTCTTCAGCTTCTGTCTTCAGCTGAGCAGAACCATCTTCTGGACACGGAGTTAGCCAATCCAAACAGAACACAAAGGTGGAGAGGCAGACCCCAGATCTGTCCAGGGACCCAGGAGAGAACTTATTTGCTACAAGCAGCAGTGACCCTGAGGAAGTCACTTCACTGCTCTGTGACTCAGTTTCCTTATCTGTAACATGGTGGCCGTACTACCTCCCTCCCACGGTTCTGGCTGCGTTTCAACATGGTCTCATCCCCGGTCCACTGACCCGAGGTGGTGCCTAATAAATGGGAGGCAGCATGGGTCCCACCCTCAGTGGCCAGACTGCTGGGAAACCTGGACTGTTAGAAAAGTCTTCCGCAGCGGCCAGGGAAAGGAATCGAGGCCATGGAAGAGAGGCCAACTCCATTCGTCTAAAGATAGGACTGTGTCACGGCCAAAGTCAACACAGTGGGAAGTCAGAACTTGGAGCTTGCAGGAAACGATCCCTCATCTATCTGGGTGATACCAGGAGTGATCTTTGGAAGGGTGTGGAGAACCCGGCAGAGTGAGACTTTTGTCTCTGAGACCTTGTGGAAGATGGGGAGGTGTGTGTACACAACGGGGACTGGCTGGGGTTGGCCTAGACCCCCAGAGAGCCTGGGTGCTGAGGATCCTGGGCAGATGGCAGGACCACCCCATTCTCCAGAGATGGTCCCCGTTGTGGGGGTGGGGGAAGGGAAGAGCTCAACCGGCCGCATCACGCCATTGTATCTATGTGAAGTGTGAATGCTAACTGAGAGGCACAGACCTGTGCTAACTCTCACGTGCATCGGAACCTCTCAGGCAAGTTACACTAAGTGCTAAATCATCCTTCATGATTTCTCATTCTCCATTCAAACACCAGAATTTTCATGTTTGTCTCTTGGTCCCCATTCCTGGGAACCCCGAGCCCTGAACTTTTTCCAGGGGGAGTTGGGTGTTTGGAAAATTTCCAGGGCTCAGGCTAGAGAAACAGGAGCTCCTGTCAAGGGTGCAGGCCCGAGTTCAGAGGGCTTTCCTGATGTTTTTTCTGGAAACTATAAAGGTGACCCCAAAGCTAGGGAGGGTCTCCAAAGCCAGCTTCTGTCCCACTGTCATTGAAAGCCACCAGGGGCACAGAGGCAGAAAATGAAAGATCTCTGATCTTGGAATTTTTATTCTCAGCCCCATCTCTCGTTTGCTGCATGGCCTCAGGTAAGTACCCCCTTCCCCCAGTCTCTGGATCTCGGTTTCCCAAGGATAACACCCAGTCCCAATTATAGCCGGACGTAGAAATATGGCCTCACATACCTCAGGTCCAGGAGGCCCAGGAAACCCAAGGGATCCCTTGTCTCCAACTTTGCCCTGGGGAAGAGAAGAGATGGCAGGGGAGGCAGGGGTAAGTGAGGACCCACCTTCCACCATCCTTTGTATTAGCCCCCTGGCTGTGGATGGCTGAAAAAACTCAGGAGCATATGCATGAGATCTCCCTAGATAACCAGGAGCTACTGTTCAAACCCTGCCTCCTATATTTACAGCCATGGGATCCTTGGGCAAGACACTTCATCTTGTAGAAGCTCAGTTTCTCCATCTGTAAGATGGGAGGGATAATAATACTCTAGCCCTTGGGGTGGTTGGCAGCCTTCAAAGAAGTATGGTATGGCAAGGATCCGATACATAATCACACTCAAGAAATACACGTTATTAATGCTACTGCTATTTTCAAGGCTTTGGGAGCCCCAGATTCTGATTCTCCCCATAACTCTGACAGTGACCGATCCCCGTCTCTGACACTGGGTGAGTTCCTGCCCCTCTGGGCCTCAGTGTCCTCCTCTGTAAAACGGGTGAATCTCATTCCTGTCCAGCTCTGCTTGGCAACCAGGGCGGCTGCAGGAGGAAATGCGGTCCAGGATGTGACTGTGTCCCTGGCCACATTTCATGACTGGAGAGTGTGAGGTTTGGGGGTGTCCGAGCCAAAGGTACTTACCAGAGGCCCCGGCTTCCCCCGTGCACCTGGGAACCCTGGCAATCCCTGGCTCCCCTGGAAAAGACCAAGAGCAGGCTGGGGTTAGTAAGGAACAGAAATGGCCAGGTGAACAGCTGCTCAGTCACCCTTGCCCACCTGCAGCTAGAGAACATCCACCTTTGGGGGAGATGAGCTCCCCCCTCTTTCCCTGCCTGCAAGCTCCAGTGGGGCACCCCTGTGGGCGGGGCTCAGGGATGAAAGGTGACACAGCAGGCCCTGTCCTCAGCAAGTCGTCCTGGAACCTGGGACCCCGGGGGGCTCCAAGCGAGCACTGCAGTGCCCTTTACGCCTGAGGAACTCTAGAGACGGGGGCCCAGCCGGGGAAGCAGCCAGGCCTGCGTGGCTTGCACTCCGGAGACACCGAGCCTGGGTCAGGACAGGCCAGCCAGGAGGGAGGGAAGAGGAAGAGGGAGAGCGGGCCAACATCTGGACCTTGTCGACTGGCTGGGCGAGGTCCAGATGTGGCCACATGGTGCCGGACACCGGCAAAGAGGAGCCGGCCTCGGCAAGCTGCCTCGGTTCATCCACCAGTCAGTAAGGCCGGTTACTCACTCACTTACTCAAACATGTCCTAAATGTTCACTGTTCTGTGCAGGACTCTGGGCTGAGCTCTGCCAGGGCAGTCTGGGGCAAAATCCTTAGGGAGCTGGCTGTCTGGCACAGGGCTGAGCCCAAGTCGCCCTCAACCAGGTGCAGCCACAGATGACGGGCGGACAGGCTGCTCGGGGCATGCGAGAGGGAAGTGGCCACTGTCCAAGCAGGTGGAGGAAATGGCATCTGAGCAGGGTTCTGAAGAATGGGGCCGTGCAGAGGCTGAGGGCACAGTGTGCCTGGCAAGGCAGCAGTGTGTGGGGCAGAGGGCACTTCGGTGGAGTTCGGGGCTGTAAGGGTGAGGGGCAGGAATGGGTCCAAGGGGCTCGCTCACTGGGACCCTGGGTGCTGGGGCGAGTAGGGAGCCAAGGATGGTTTGCGAGCACAGAGCAGAGCTTTGCGGCAGTGAGGAAGACAGACTGGGAGAGAAGGGGCGGGGGGCCTGACAATAAGTCAGGAGGCTGTTGTCAAGGCCAGGGAAGAGATGGTGATGGGGGCCTGAGGCTGGAGAAGATAGGGTTATGTGAAAGGAAGCCATCTTGCAGGGGGGTCCTGGCCCATGAGGGAGCCTGAGAAGGAAGCTGGGACCAGAGAAGAGGCGGGGGGGGGTAGAATCCGCTGCAATTACCTTGTCTCCTTGGAATCCAGTATCTCCTGACACACCTGGAACCCCTTGTTCACCCTAAATGCACACCAGCAAAGAACGTTACAATGGAGATCACGGTGGGTTCTGGAAGCCTCCCCACTTCCAGACCCACCAGCAAGGTACAGCTTGGCTGAGGCTGTTTCCAGAGTGGATCTGACCAGCAGCAGCCTTGTGAGAGTAAAGGGCAGGCCCCCTGGGGAAGCTTGGCTGGGGAAGGCAGGCCCTGGGGGGCAAGGAGCCAGCCTCGCTGCACACCAGCCTGGGGCTGCTCAGGTGGCTGAAAACACCACTAACAAAGCCAAACTGCCTGGCCTTTCCTGAACAACTGACACTTGGCAGATCAAAGGGACTGCTTCTTGATCCTTCAACGTCTTCATCATCAGCTTCATGTCACACAGGGGCAGGTACTGTACAGGGCCTCCCCGTCCCCCCCACCCCATCACGGAGGGTTCTGAGGGTTCTGAGCGTTCGCATCTGTTGCTTGGCATTTTTCACCACCGGGCTGGGAGCTGTCACTCTTCCTCCTGTGGGAGTCTCTATGCCAGCCATCAGCGTGGGGCCACTTCTAATTAGCTGCCTGTAATCAGCTATAGCATGAGAAACCAGCTAGCCTGGCTGGCTAAGACTATGTGTAAACAGCGAGTAAACGGGTCTCGAGTTAGTTCTGAGTGTTTCCTTCCTAGGGTGACATGGATTCCGGCCTTCAGGGGTCTCTTCTGGTCCCTCCCTATTTTCAGCCACATCCTGGTAAACAAGCTATCGGAGAACCACACGGGAAGACGGTTCTTCTTACAGCCGGAGTCCCATCATGCAGCCCTCATCATCTCCAGCTTGCCATGTTGGATGTTCCCAACGGCACCCCAGCCCCAGCACTCCAAAAACACTCACAGCCCTGGGAGCAATAGGAAGGATGGGGAGGAAACTGGGAAGAATGGAGACTCTTAGAGAGCCCACATCATGCAGCTAAGGCCATGAGCCCGCAAAAAAAAAAAAACTTTGGTAAAACAAAAGCCAAAATTAAAATAGATAAATAAATAAATAGCTTAAAAAAAAAAAAACTTACTTTGGTTTTTCCAATCTGGAAAACCCTGTATAATATTCCAGAGGTTTGGGAGCCAAGAAAGTTTTGGGTTTTTTTTTTTTTTTTCGGTGTGTGTGTGTGTTTAATGTCTAAAGGAGGAACAGAGGGAATTAAAAAAAAAAAAAAGTTTAAAAAGACACCTAAGAAATCAGGACAATGGATTTGGGCTGGAGCAGGAGTGTCGGTTCCAGAAGGCTCCTCCATGCAGGAAGACGGAGCCAAGTGGTTGTAAGTGGGACCGCGGCCAGGCCGGGTCATGGAAAATCTGGGATTCGAGGCAGGATGGCCAGGGAACATGAAGGGATGGCTCCGTCATCCCAGGGGAGGGCCGGGGGGTGGGGGCCCTCTCAGCAATGTTAAGACCCCTCCCCAGCCAAAAGGACAGAAAAGAAAGTCCTTTTTCTTTTCTTCTTTTTTCCAACCCCAAAGACTTATTTGATTTTCTTGAAAACTACGGGCAGGAAAACAATTTCCTCCACTTCTTTCTTTTTTTTTTTTTTTCCAGAGCTTTCACATCTTGAAATGAGCCAGGCACCAGCAGTCAGCAAGCCAGCCGAGTTCCATGTAACACACGTTTATTTCCATGTTCCTGAAGGGCCAGTGAGCGGGAGGCCAGCTCTGCAGAGGGGCCTATAAAAAGCTTAATTCAATGCCTACACCCCCCGCACCCCCTCTTCCTTTCTCCCTTGTCCATGACTTCAACATTTCCAGAGCGCTGATGTCTCAAACCCCAGAGCAAACAGGTAGCTGTGGGGGAGACTCAAGGGGAGGGCCACAGAGGAGGGGGCTTAGAAGTCAGCGGGGCAGGGCCAGAGGTGGAGCGAGGGAGCCCCAGGGGGGCTGCAGCTGGAGGCCCAGTGGCAGGGGGGGCGGGAACAGTGAGGAGGCAGTAGAGGTGGAAACAGATGGAGAAAGCACGGCACCCCTGGCTACCCATTGCAGCCCCCCACCTCCCCTTTTCTAAGAGCCCGAGGGCTGAGTTTCCTTTGATGCATCTCTTTGAACTCTTTGGGGCTGCCTCCCCAGCCGGGAAATGGAGACACTGGAGGAGGTGACCTCCCAGGGCCTCATCAGCTCTGCCCTTCTGCCCTAGCTCTGCTTCGTGGTTGAGGTCCCTGGAGGCCCGAGCCCTCCCACACCCCCTTTGGGGTGCCTGGTTCGGGTGAGAGGCTAAGAGGGGAGGGCAGGAAGATAGCTACAGGACAGGGCCCAGGGAGTGCCGCCCCAGCCCTTCACGTCTCCGTCCCTCAGATACCGCGTGACGGGGCCAGGTGCTGCCCTGCCGAGCCCCGGGGTCCCACCGACCCCTGTCCAACTGTGGGCTGGCACAGGGTGGGTTCAGCAGCAGGACTGTGGGGAGGACACGTGGCGTGGGCGGCCTCCCCATGGCAACTGGGAGGAAAGCGGGTCAGGGGCTCAGAGGCCTGTTCCCGCTTTTCTGTTGCACAGTCAGACCACGTGCTCTCTGGGGGTGGGTTCCCAGTTCTTACTGCGGTGGCTTATGTGGATTCATTTCCTCCTGTGGCTGGGAGAGGTCTCCAGCCCCCACACCATACCTGCCCGCCATGGGGCCTGTCATCTCAGCAACGCGCCCCCCTCCATGCCTCCCCCCCGCTGGCTTCGGCTTCCGAGTCTAGACGCTGGCCTCAGCTTTGCTCTCCGAATTCAGAGACCTGCCTTGCCTTACCCCCCACCTTTGCCTCAACAGCCCCCCATGCTCATCTTCCAAGGTCTGCACGCCCCAGACCTCCTGCCTGAGCTCCACCTCGGTTACAAGGAAGAAGCCGGGGAACACAGATTTAGGGGGGCCAGAGGGGAGGCAGGAGGCGTGCAGGGGGGGTGGACCTGGAGAGAAAGCAGCAGCAGCGTTGAGGCGGGGGTGAGGGGGTTGGTTCGCATGCAGATAAAACACAATGCAACAAGGGAGTATTCAGATCACCTTATCACCTTTCAGTCCGGGCTCCCCCATGTTCCCCATCAGTCCCTGCAAGACAAAGGCCAGATCCTGCTGTGAGGGGGGGTCTCAAAGCCACGGAAGACAAGTGCCCCGCCTGACACCCACTGGCTTGCCGTGCCCACCCGGGGCTTGATGCCCCACCCAGCGATCAGTTTTCTCACCCGTGAAAGGGGGCAATGACTCCCAGCTCGGAGGGCCATGATGTGGACTAAAGGAGCACGAGAAGGGACAGCTGACTCCTGAGCCATGGCACTCCGAACAAATCCAGGGGAGAAGGCTGCTCATGGGGACAGATGGGTTCCACAAGCATTGCCCCCTGCACGTTGGCCACATGGGGTCGTCCCTGGAATGAGGTCCTAGCAGTTCTGGCCCATCTTTTTCCTGCATGCCCATCCCACCCAGGGACCTACGAAGTTCACTGGTTTGCCACTATAGTTTCTGTGCCCCTGGTGATGCCCTCCCCCCTCCCCCATTGGCCTTTCAGTGCCCTGACGTCTGGAACCACATGAGATTCATGCTCAGCTCAAGGACTGCTGTCCAAGAGACATTTCAGCCATAACTGACATACAGAAGCTGACTGGCTCTCAGGCCCGGGAAGAACTGAGCTGCTGAGCTGCCAGCTCCCATCCCAGCACCCCTCGGAGCCCCCGTCCTCCCCTCCCCCCACACTGTGTCCAGGCACACTTCCCTCTGGGCTGCCATGGGTCAAGGCGGGGGGTGGTGGCTGGAAGGGACGAGACCCGGATTCAGGGAGGGCTCTTGTTTACCTTCACGCCCTTGGGTCCTGGATAGCCAATCAGACCCAGTGCTCCCATGTCGCCCTGGCAAGAGAAAGAGAAGAGAACATCGTGAGAGGTGGCTCCCAGGAGTCTGGCCTGGGAGGGATGATCCCCAACGTCTCCTAGCCTGGGCTTCTGAAGACACAACCCCACTGGCTCTGTCAGACCACCTGGTCTCATCTCTCCTCTGCTGCTTGCTTATCATGTGATTTGGGGTGGCTAACCTCTCCGTGCCTCAGTTTCCCCATCTAAAACGGGGATCAGTACTACGAGCCTCCTAGAGTTGTTTCAGGGAGAGCTGACTTACGCGTACAAAGTAGTGGGCACGGTCTGGAGGCATCTGGGGTTGTCCCAGCCGAAGGGGCTCTACCAGCATCTAGTGGGTGAAGGCCCCACAACACACAACGATCTGGCTCAAAATGCCCATAGTGCTGAGGTGAGGAGCCTGGTTGAGAATGAGGCGGTGGCTGGATCCTCTCTGCACGAGCCCACCCTCCTCCCCTCACGGGTCCTCAGCTCCAGCCCATCCCTACCACTACTGCCTCCAGTCGCAGCCATAACGGTAAGCCCACGCCCAGAAATAGGGAGCCCCTGAAAATGCTCTCTTCTCCCCCCTTTCCATCTGCTGTGACTCGTCAGAGTGTCTGGCTGCTGTGTGTGCTCAAACAATGTGCTTGACCTCTCTGGGCCTCAGTTTCCCCCTTCCCTGTGTCAGGCTCTGTGGGGGTCCCTGGCAAGTGCGCGGATGCACGGGAGGAAGGCTAGGTGCCCCAGGCTTCCTGTGGGAACTGCCCCGAGAGGTCTCCATCGCATTCCTGCCCGACTTCCGCAGAAGGGCCGACGGGCCCGAGGAGAGAGACAGAGAGAAGGTGCGAGTTCACAGATGGTGGCGTGGTCTGCTGAGACACTGTCGGGTCCCACCCCACCCCCCCGGCCCCTGCAATGGCTCAGATCAGCTGACACAGAGGCCGGCCACCGTCCGGCCACGGCCCTGCCAGGGATGGGCTGTGGGACCTTGAGAAAAACCCTTGCCCTGTGGACCTCAGGATCCCCACCTGATTAGGTCAAACCAAACCTTCTAGCTGAACCTCTGCCAAGAAATGGTGCTTTCAGCTCCATCAAGTTATCTTCTCCTGAAGGAAGTAAGGTCAGAACAGGTGCCGAGACTAACACAAACAGCACTGTCTGCCAGGCATGGAGCTCAGCACCTTACCTGCCTCGACCCGAGGACTCCTCACAACAGCCCTTGGAGATTCACCCTCCTACCATCCCCATTTTACAGACGGGGAAACTGAGGCTCCATAGGGCTAGGACTGGATGGAGCTGGGATTCACACCAGGCAGTCCGTCTCCAGAGCTTCCAGGCAATTCTGAAGTCGTCTTGGGAGAGGAGGGAGAGAGGGGAGTGAAAAGGCCGGGATCACTGGCCAGGAGAGGCTGGGGTCCGAGGAAAAGCCAGCCCTTCATAGAAGTGTACCTCCCTAGGCCTTGCTGGTTGCTGCTTCTCTCCCTCTCTTTTCCTGGATGAAGGGAGCCAGGGGTGGCCTGCCCAGAGTTCCCCATGATCCACAAATAAACAGACGAGGCTCTCCTGGCACAGTTGGCTCCAGCTGGGGCCCGGGCTGTGGGCAGGGGATCAGTCAGCAGCTCTGGGAACACAGGCTCCTTCTTCCCGCTGCAGGCCTGAGGGTGGCTTGTGTGGGGACTGAATTCAATACGGGCCTGACTGACACCTGGGGCCCTGGGGAGCCACAGCAACACCACACTCGCCGCCCCTGCAGGCCCTTCCAAGAAGGCCTGTGTGTGGTGGGGGGCAGGGACTTGCATGGGTATCCAACGCCAAGGGGAAAGGAATCCGTGGAAAAGGGACTCTGGCTGCAGGGCACATGGGGAGAAGGTGGCGGCTTGCTTAGGGCAGGCCTTTTCCTTGTTGGCAGGGCCGCAATGCTGGGCTCTGAAAGCACTCGGGGGAGGAACAGAGAAAATTCCAGGCCGCTTTCCCCCCAGTACAGCCCGCAGAGCCCCAGTCGGCTCTGCACTAGACACCCTTGTGGGCAGCCTGACCGAGCGACACACAGCATGTCATGTCCTCACAAGAAAGAACAATGAGTAATGCCCTGAATTTGGATCCTGTTCCCACTTTTTTTTTTTT